CTAAGGGTTGCTTTTTTTTTTTCCTTTTTCCCCCCCCCCCCCCCTTTTTTTAAGAGTACAAACTACAGGAGAAGAGGGAAATTTTCTCATTAAAGTTACATCCCTGCAGTTAGTTCAATTACTTGATATATGCAGAAGATGTTGTAAATTTAAAGATTTAAATAGCTTACAAAGATGCCGGAGGCTCCATCAGTTAATTTCCTTAATTTATGGATTTTTAGCTGAGCTTCTGAAATGAAAAGGAGAATGAGAACTAGGTCAGCTGAGAGATTTGCATCCAGAACAGACTCAGATTTGTTTTCCTTGACCATCCCCTGGGCCCAGGTAGGTTCCTCCGCAGGGGCCTTCGCGCCGGGGCTGCCGCGCGGCCCGGGAGGCAGCGCGGGGGCCGGGGGGCAGCGCGTGGCCCGGCCTTCGTTCCGGGATGATCCCCAGCTGCAGCCCGGCGGCTGGCAGCGCCGGGCGGGCCGTCGCGTGGGCCGAACTGCAGCCCTCGCCACTTGTGCCGCTCAACAAGTGGAGAATGAGGAAGGAGGACGGGCGCCACGGGGGCTCAGCACGCGGTGAAGCCTCCGCTTTTGCTGGGGTGTGGGCAGACTGTTCGGGGTGACCTGGTGACTTAATTTTCACTTCCTCTGTGAATTACCAACTGGTAAGTGAAGAATAAACGAGCATCTCGAGCATCACAGAGGCACGAGGCTTCTGTGTTAAGGCGCAGTAAAGAGATGATCTAAAAATCCTGTGCAGAACGAAACGTAGGAATTGGTTTCTGACTCATCCCAGACGCAGGGCTGGTAAAGAGTTGGGGAGCAAAGCGAAGACGGAGCAGTGCTTGGGACAGGGAGGGTGCGCGCGTGGCCGGCGCCTTGCGCAGGGCTGTTCGGCAGCGCGAGGACGGCCGGTGCCCGGAGCCCGGAGCTGGTGTTCGCCGCGCTCCGTGCTGAGCGTAGCAGAGGTGCGCGCTGCCGCTCCGTACGCGCTCGTTTCTTCTCACCCGAGCGCCTCTGTTGTTGTGTTGCAATATGCATGAATATATACATATGAATTAATACTTAAAAGATTGATACAAACTAAACAGTTTTAGGAAGCAACATTGCAATGTGGTTAGTATTGGGCTTCATGATTTAGCATTTCTTTTCCCACTAGATGAAGTTTCTAAGATTTGCAAGGTACATGTCAAGGACGGGTATATAAATGGATTTTTATTTATTCACAACTCCAAGACTAATTGCTTCTCTTTGCCTGAAGGCCAAGAGATTGGTTTTAATATGACACTTCAAAAGTATTCATAGAACTACAGAGATACTAAGTGTCATTGTTTAAGAGAGAAATCTCGCTGTGGTACTTGTGACCCTGAAAGTAAAATCTTCCACATTATTTTAAATTCTAACGTTGTTTTTCAGAGTTTCACTTAAAGCTCAACTATTAAGAACTGTACAAAGGAAAATATTAAATAGAATGTACTGAACAAAGGAAAAGAAGTAATTTTAGCAGGGAACATAACTTACTTTCTCAAAATTTTATTAGGGTCCTTATAAAGCAATGCAAAATTTATAACATAAGACTCTTGAGCTCAGTTATAGGATATAAGTAAAACCAATGGGCTATAGCTTGGAAAGCTCTTGGGTAAATGTTTAGCATGTAATTTTTTAAGATATTAAATACTTCAAAATAAATACTTTGCATTTTTTCTTATCAACAGTTCTTTGCATCCTATGCAGATGTTTAGAATTGGACAGCAACATTTTGTGAAATGTTTTTATCTTACTATTCCATGGCTTGTTTATTCTTTTTCAGTAAACAAGTCAAAAACTTGTTGTCAGTCTTAATACAGTGTGAAATAGAGGCCCATAAAGAACCCTAGTTCCAATTTTTTCATGTTTTTCAAACCCAACACCTTGTGCACATTTGTGGAAAATGACCAAGTCATGAACAGATACAAATTTCAAAGCATATAAATCAAAAAGATATTCCAGATATATAGTGAAGTTGCAGATTTGAAGTGTATTGTCTACATGAAAGGAATTGATGAGTTGAAAAATATCATCAGCTTCTGTTTACACCGTGGTTTCTGAACTGGAGTGTCAGCTTCATAACTTTAATTCCATGTTGTTCTTCTGGGCCTTGTGTTGAAGGCCCAATATGAATTTATTCTAGTAGGCCTTATCTTATCTTTATGATTATTTTCTTTTCCTTGTATTATGTGTCTTAATTCAGCTTCATCCTAACTTCAGGACCTCTTACGCTGTGCGTCTTATCCTGGCGATCTTGATCCTGCCTTCCTGGCAATGATACTGATATTCCCAGTAACTTCAAAAAGTGCAGGAAGAAATTCGCAGGCTACCACAGGGTGGCTCTGAGACACCCCATGCTTTTATAGGCATTTTCAAGTAAAGCAGTTAATAAGTGATAAAATTGATCATTTAACAAAATGATTAAATTCTATGTCTTTAGATGGATTAATGCTCTTCCTATTCATATTCAAGAGACCCTTGTATACTAGATAGAGTTTTATTTGGGGAGGTGGGTGAATGGGGTAAGAAATGGGTGCTTCAAAGCTGGTTGTTGGACTGTGGCCTGCTTAAATCAGTAAACCCTGTGTGACTCGGAGGCTTTGCGGATGTGACCGAGCTCGGCTGCCCCTTGCAGAAGGTGAGGACTGACCGCAGCAAAGTGCGGACCGGGCCCCGTGTCCGCGCGCGAGAGGAG